ATGAGCCACGCCGAGGCCGCAGGTGGAGTCAGTTGCCGGCTCAGAGCAGGACACCTGTGCTGCCCCGAGGGCTTCCCCGCCGGTTCCCTCTGACCCGCCTCCCCGATCAGTTCTAGCCCCGCCGGCGCCAGCTGCACACCCAGCGCCACGTCCCATCTCTCGCCTGGACGCGCGGCTGCTGTCCTCCGTGGCCCCCTCCACCCCACCCTGCCTTCTCTGTGCCTCCGGGTTCCACGCTGGAGCACCTCCAGGGTCTCCCTGATTTTTGCTCGAACCCCCCTTTGTGATTCCGTCCAGTCCCACGGCTCTTTTCTGTGGAAGCGTTTCCTGGACTGACCTGCTTTCATCCCCTCTTTCTCCCGAGTGTGGCCCCGGGAGGGCTGTGACTGCGTTGTTCACTGCTGTCTTCCCAGCCTCTAGATTAGTGCCCGGGGCACAGCAGGTTCTCAGATCTGTATCGAGTCGGTAAACCGTTAATCGGCCCTTAGTCACCCGGCACCCGTGTTCCTTACGCACGTTCCGGTCCAGAAACCCTCTGATTATGCAACCTGCTGTCCGCGCGCCCACTGGGGGCTCTAAGAACTAGGCCCATGCCCCCCCACTCCCCCCCAGTGAGCATCTCGGCTTGGGACCTGGACATGGGTGCACGCCCGTCTTCCCAGGGCGGTGTCCCTGGAATGAGGGACCCCAGGCAGAGAGCTGGATGTCTCCCATGCAGCCAACAGCCAGTCAGGCCCCAGAGAAGTCAAGACAGGGGCTCTGCTGCCACTGGATTGTTTTCTTCCCGGGGACCCGGGAAGGTAGGCCCGGCCCCACGCATCCTTGCCCGTGCTCCCCCATTGCCTGTGCAGTGCCAGGGGTTGCCGGGGGTGGCCAGGCCCGGGACAGGAAGGAGCTCCTTGGACCGGGACTTGGTGGTCCCGGCTGTGCATGGCCACAGACGCCTTTGGCACAGGCAGCCTCTGGGCTCCTGGAGCCTGCACCTGCCCGGGGAGCGGCCAGGCCTCCAAGCTTCGTTCTGGAGCCCAGAACTCCTGCCTGAGCTCGGGGCTGGGGGAGAGAGAGAGAGAGAGCGAGTGTGCATGTGTGTGTGTCTTTCCAGAGAGCACTTTCCTTGCATTCTCTCTCACCCAACTTTGTTGTTCTGTTTTTTACGATTTTATTTACTGGAGAGAGAGGACATGTGAGCAGGGGGAGGAGCCGAGGGTCAGGGAGAAGCAGACTCGGCGCTGAGACCGGAGCCCGATGCAGGGCTCATCCCAACACCCTGAGATCGTGACCTGGGCCAAAATCTAGAGTCGGATGCCTCACCGATGGAGCCACCCGGGCGCCCCAACTTTTACTTTTCTACATAATTTTATTGAGCTGTAATTTATATTATCAGCAAATCCAGCTGCAAGAGTTTTGACCAGCGCGTCCACTCCTGTCTCTGCCTCCCTCTGACTTAGAATAATACCGATTTCCTCCCTCCCACAAGTTACAAACAGTCCTCCTTCCCACCTTGTCCTCAAGCAACCGCGGATGTGCCTTCCGCCACCCTGCGCCCTGTGAGAGTGAAGATCGTCTAGTGTGGGCTCCTTTGTGTCTGGTGTCTTTGCTCCGGACGGACCGTGTCCGTCTGGGCAGGCGGCGGATCTGCAAGGCTGGCCCCTCCGGGTGCCTTTCGTGTTCAGTCCTCAGCAGACCGATACTTGGGTGTTTCGCTTTGAGCCTGTTGTCATGGACTATAAAATAAATTCCTTTGGAGCCTTGATGGGGACATGTAGTTTTGTTTCTCTTGGGAGCGTGCGGAGACATTAGATCTGTACGCGGAGCGTCTCTGAACGCGTGAGACGCCGACGGCGGTTTCCGCAGGGCGTGCCCTCCTGCTCTGCCCTGTAAGGCGTCTGAGTTCAGCACCTCCACGGCTATGCCTACGTGGGACGCTCTCTCTCGCTTTAATAGAATTTTATTTTTTTTTAGAAGATTTTATTTATTTATTTGACAGATCACAAGTAGGCAGAGAAGGAGGCAGAGGGAGAAGCAGGCTCCCCGGTGCGCAAGGAGCCCGATGCGGGGCTCGATCCCAGGACCCTGAGATAATGACCTGAGCCAAAGGCAGACACTTAACCCGAACCACCCAGGCACCCCAAGACGTTTTTAAATTTGATGAAATCCAATTATCAGGGGTTTTTTTGTTGTTTTTTGTATTTTTGGTTTTTTTTGTGTTTTTTTGTGTCCTATATAAGACATCTCTCTGGCCAAATTTTTCCATTTTCTTCTAGAAGCTTTAGTGTTTCAACTTTTTCATTTAGAACTGTGATCGTGTTTGGAATTAATTTTTGTGTGCCGTGAGAGATAAGGGCCGGTTTCCCCCCATCAATAATTAGCTCTTTCTGCCACATTTCCAGAAAACACCGTATTTCTTTCCCCAGCTGACCTACCTTGGCACCTTTGCTACAGAGGAACATGCCACATGTCTCTGTGTGCACCCCTGGACCCTCTGGTTTGTTCCAGTGACTTCAATGTCCACATTTTACACAACGACAACACTGTCTTGATAGCCATGGCCTTAAAGTCTCAAAATCAGGCCATGGGAGTCTTCTGACTTCTCGTTCGTCTTTTTCAAAACCACCCCGGTGATCACAGGTCATTTGCATTTCTGCATCATTTTTAAAATCAGCTCATCAATTTCTAGCAAAGCCCGTTGGGATTTTGACTGGCATCTCACTGAATCGACAGATCTACTTGGGGGGAAATCAGGAATTTAAGAATATTACATCTTCTAAACCACGAACGTGTTCTGTGTATCTCTGCTTGAGAGCCTTTCATTTCTAGGCGGGGCTCTCTGGTTTTCAGCACACAGGTCTGGCTCATATTTTGTTAAACTTATCTCTAAGTACATTGTGGTTTTGATGCTAATATAACGAATTACCTGTATTTTTTTTTATTATTCTACCGCTTCCATTTGTGTTTTAATTTCTGTTCTAATTTTTCCCTGCTAGCTCACAGAAATAGCCGCGAGACGCGTATGTCGACCTTGTGGGCTGTCACCTTGCCAAATCCACTTCTGGGTCCCAGCAGCATCTTGTAGCTGTCTCAGCACTTCCCAAATACACAACCGCGTCCTCTGCAAAGACCGTTTCCCTTCTTCCTTTCCAAAGCAGAGCACTTCTCTCTCCGTACCACGCTGATGCTCTCAGGTGCGGCACATGCCGCGCTGCGCGCAAGCGGCCAAGCGGACGGCCTTGCGCTGGTCCGGACGGGAAGCGGGATGCGGTCGGACGTCCCCCGTTAAGCACGGTCTTGACTGCTAACTCCATCAAGTTGAGACGAATTCCTTTCTTTGCCTTGTTTCCTGAACGGAGATCGGACTTTGTCCAGCGCTTTTCCCTGCATCAAAGGACAGACGGTGTCTTCTGTTCCACTGGCACAGTAAGCGGTGTTGGCTTTTTACTCAGAAAGTTAAGGTGCCTTCATTCCTGGGATGAGCCACAGCCGGGTCCAGTGCACCACTCAGCCTTTTTCTACGTTGCTGGATTTCGTCTGCTACTATTTAATTAAGGGTTTTTAAAAAATTCCTGGTGCTCCTGGTATGTGGATTCCTTGTCACAGCTTCGTCTGGTTTTGCCGGGGACACTGCTGGCCTCAGGAGCGGCGGCAGTTGTCGTCTCTCTAGAAGTTGTATACAGTTGGCATCCTGGAGTGCACAAGTGTTCAGTAGTAGTCACCGAAGCGAAGTGCCCTCCTTATTGCTTTGGGTCTGCCTACATTTGGGTCTGCCTCCATGTTCTGGGAAATTTCTAAATATTTTTAAAGATTTAAAGAATCATGAGTCCGGGCCACCTTTGCTCTTTTTTTATTTTTGGGAAATTATTATTATTTATTTATTTTTTTTACTGTGGTAAAGTTTATGTAAGGAAATTTACTATTCTGACCATCTTTGAACGTATTAGCGGCATAAAGTGTATTCACGCCGTCGTGCGGACCTTCATTTCTTATGTCGGTATTTCTTAAACTGGAATTTTTTTTTTTTTAAGACCTTCCATTTGATCTAGCATTTTTTATTTTTTTTTTACCTTAGTTCTTCAAAGTTGATTCATCTTGCGTGATGGACACTCTGCCCTCTGACCTTCCCGCCCCGGCTGCGTGGGATTGGCCATGGTAGATCTCACAGGGGGATGAGACCATGCAGTCTGCTTGCTCTGTCGTGCCGCCTGAACAGTAAAAGTGACAGAGGAAAACAGGACAAACACGGCTCGACCTCACCCTTGAGGCCTCATTGCAGCTCCGTTCGCCTGAGCAGCTGTCCCAGCCATGTGAGGGGGACACAGTTTGTGAGTGACTCCCTGAGTGCTGGTCACAACCATTTTTAGGGGAAAAATGGAGGGCCAGAAAAGGCACGGATATCGAGTTTGTCTTTCGCGCATGGGAGAAAGGAGAAAGGAATCCCACAAGGCTGCACCGATAAAAGCGGTTTCAAACAAAGACACAGAGTACATGGCATTGTATAAAATAACAAATTTTATTTCTAGAAAATATCTTACACTAAGTGCACACATGCACACACGCACACGGTACTGCGCCACACACGGACTAATTTCCTTTTAATAAATGAACCACAGACTGAAAGCTTACAGTTTACAACAGAGGTTTGAAGACACAATGGGAAAAGCTTGGTCATTCATTTATAAACCTTCCATAAATTACAAAAGAAAGGCAATCTGAAAAGTATGTATAAAGAGTAAAAACACTTTACAAGTGGACAAGAATTACAAAATAGTAACCAATCCCATACGCCTGCCGGTGACCTTGTCAGTCTCTCGGTCAAGTGCCCGCGGTGTAGTCTGCCTGGTGTAGAGCCATGGGGGACGGACTGAACTTGAGGGGCTGTGGGCGTGGCGTGTGCCTTGTGGGGGCGGCTCCCCGTGCTCTGCTTGCGGCGGGGTGTGTGCGTGTGGCGTGTGGTGTGGGACACAGGCCACGGGGTGTGACACTGGGAGCCAGGAGTGCTTCCTTGCTTGCCGGCAGGGCTGGAGGAGTGGTAACTTCTCCAAACGGGGCGACCCTCTCGCTCCCTTTCTAACCTTGAATGATCTGAGTTAAGGAAACGTGTTCTGGGTGTTGCCCGGCTCGCTCTGGGAGAGGCGGGACGCCGGGGTGTGCAAGTGCACGGCCTGCACCCCTGACCTCAGAGCCCTGTGTCTGGGGGGGAGGAGCACTGAAAGCACGACACGTACAAAGCAGACACGGTAGATTTTATTAGACGGTACAGAACACGGTGCATTTCTAAGGCGGAACATCAAGGCAGTTAAACTAGAAGTTCAAGACCAGAGTTAAAGTGAGTTAATGCGTCGCGAGGCAAGCGTTCGGAAACGGGGTTGAGGTGGAAACCATTCCTCTGAGGGCGGATGACAAGGGCACAGAGGCCGGCAGCACGGGGCGGGGAGCGAGCCACAAAGAGCTACTGGCCCCCGTGCGCTCCGAGACGCCGCCACCCGGCAGGCCGCCGGCAAGGGCGCGGGCGCTGGGCTCGCGGGCGGGGAGGGGGCCCCAGCAGCTCTTTGTCCTCGCGGGTGGCTTACAGTGGACGGTAGTGCAAAGAGCATTTCTCTACTGGTGTCAGGGGAGAAGAGTGTGTTTTTAGGAAGTACTTGAGTCACTGAAAGCCCTAGTTTGGGATTAAAGAGAACGACACGGACTGGGGGGTCGTCCGGAAGCGCATGGTCATTTCACCGCACCCAGCTTTTTCAGCAGTTTCTTGCCTTTGGAAAGCAGCCCCTTTTTCTTTTTCGAGGACATTTCCCTGCCTCTCCCAGGACTACCAGTACCCATGGATGGCGGAGGTGACCCCGAATGGAGATGGGCTGTGGGGGATGGCGCTCTCCTTGTTGTACCTGAACCCTCAGGAGGAACCTAGTAGGCACAGTGGGACAGTTGAGTGCGCGAGCACCGACCACATCGCTTACACCACACGGCCCCGTCCCCCGCCAGGGAAGGGAAGGGGGGCTCGTGGCTTCCCTCAGGGGTCAAGGATGCCACGAGCACGCGCACCCTCCCCGCAGCCTCCCTGCGAGGGGGGGGCTGCGGCTGCTTTGTCTTCGGGGGAGGGGGAAGGCCGCAGCTTTGGCAAAACAAAGCTAGGTAGTAATTTACTTCGTAAATTAAGACCCAAAGCGGAGGTGTGGGGCGGGGTGGGGGATGGGGAGCAGAGGTTCCCTTAAATTAGGTTACAGTGAAAGTGGCTGAGGACCCATCACTAATCTTAAAAGCCAAGGTTCTGAAAGGGGCTTGTGGGTCTGAGAGCCACCGGGGTACAGGGAGGGTGGTCTGGTCGGGGGCATTCCTGGGGACGTGAATCACGCCATAGCAGACGGCACACACCGGTTGAAAGGAAAAAAAAACTAAAATGAACCTCTATCACAATCGAAGGAAGCTTAAAGGCCCTTATTGCGTGCTCGCGAGACTCCCCGGTGGCCGGAGATGGGCTTGTGTCCAGAGAGCGCACCGGGCACCTCCGGACGGCGGGGCGGGCTCGCTGGCCCCAGGGCTCGGCCCTCACCCCCTCGCCCCTCCACGCCTCTCCACGCCAAGCCCTGCCTCGGGCACACGAGGGGAGCCAAGGGCTTCAAGCTTGCTTGGATTTAGAATCAAGGTCTAGTTCCGATGGAAAACAGCTAGGAAAGCATCCCACGCACACCTGAAGATACCGTCCGCCCCGTCTAAGGCCCCGCGGCCGCTGCGGCTCTCGGCCGAGCAAGCACAGCATTGCATTGCCGCCCCCGAGGAGACGCCCGGCACACGCACGGACTGGGACTCGCCGCAGCCCGGCCGCGGGGGTCACGCCCGCGGCCGGGGTGGGGGGAGGGGGGCGGGCGTGCCAGAGCCGACTCCGCGCGCCCAGCGCTCCCCCTCCTCGGCTCGGGCTCTGTGTTTTCACAGGAGCGTGTCCCGGAGTAAACATGGTGTCTAGTTGTGCTTTTGTTTTCCCCACGAGCGGCTAACAATGCAATGCACAGCGTTCGTCACGAGGAGACGCTGCAGCGTTCTCTACGGGAACAGACAATGAGCCTCGCAAGAAATATGTTCCCAAGATTGGCCTTCGAAACCGTCTGAAATGATGCGGGCAGTAGGAAATGAGCAATGAGGAGGACTGGGCTACAAAATCAGTGCCTTTACAGCCGAGGCCGAGGGACAGCCTGCTGTCCGAGGCCCAGGGGCTGTGTTCTGTTTTGTCGTGTTCTGAGACATATTTCTTTTGTGTGCGCGCCCACAGGGAGGCCTCCGCGCGAGTCCGCCGGGGCCGCGGGCGGGCGCTACCTGTGGTATCTTCAGTTGCTCACTTACGTGAAGGCTACGGGGCCTGATTAAGGTGTGAAATGAACACTCTTCTTCTGTTTCCAAGCAGATGAGCAAAGAAATAAAAATATATATATATATAAAAATAGAATATAGAAAAACTGGCAGTGATGAGATTAAAAAAAAAAATGCAAGACTACACGTGGGTGTCGTCCACTAGTTAACTACGCCGGAGGCAACCTCTGGTCTCTGCTACGAGCACGGAAACCCTAGCGGGGCCGAGGGACGGAGGGACTGGCCGTCCCCTCCACTCTCACCCCAGCCGGGATGTGCGTCTACGGGGCGGGACGGGGAGTCCCTTCGTGAGGAAAGGCAGACGGGTTAGAGTCGAGAGGGGCAGGTTTTGTGAAACAGGTAAGTCAAAGTGAGATGTTGAGGCACAACCCCGGGGGGAGGGCATGGGCTTCCGGGCCCAGCGGCCGACGTGTGCGCGCGAGGGGGTGCGGGAGCGAGTGTGGCCGGGGGCAGGTGTCAGAGGCGCCGGGGGTGTCCGCTTACCCGTTTTGCCTTGGAGCGCACCGGCGTGTCCCGGGAGTAGTGGCACGGAGCGTCAGACAGATAGACCTCCACGTCGTCAGGCACTTCTTCCAGAAAGTTTGAAGGTACAAGGCCTTTCTGCCCGTTAAGTTCCCCCTAAAAACACAGCAGAAGGAATTACTCGATTTTCCCAACATCTCCTTCTTGCTTTCACTGTGGGAGCGGAGCACTGGGGCCAGTCGCCTGCGGGGGTCTGCCCTTGTTCAAACGTGGAAGAACTCAGAGGGGTGGCAGTGTCCCCAAACTACCCTGGCCAGAACAGCGAGCTCGGGACGCGCTCAGGGGGACAGGGTCCCTTCCCCAAGCTCTGCATCTGGCCTGGCTGGATGACAACGTGGGTTTTTGCCCCGGGGCTCACGTGGCTCCCAGGAACCAGGCCTCAGGCCAGCCCGTGGGGCGGCCGTCGGCCGTGGCTGGCCTTAGCATCCCCAGGGAGCTTTTAAAGAGACCTCACTCGAGCAGATGCATTGACATGGACGGACCCCCTCCTGAGGCCAGCGGGTGGTCTGGCGTGTGCACTGGGGGACGGCTACGGGTCTGTCTTGTGCACGCTCACAGTCTCATTAAAAAGAGCCAAACAATATGGGGGACACGAAAGTGTTCACACCTCCTCAGAGGTGATACTGCTTCAGGTTCGTCTCCTCCCTTCCAGAACCTTCTCTCACGTCTCTACACAGGTGCATAGTTAAGATCACCATCCACAAGACATCCGGACCCAGCGGGTCACAGCCGTCACGTCACTTCTTCCCCAGTGTCCCCCAATGCCTGTGTCCAAAACCAAGTCCCAGAATGGCCAGCCCCGGACTTCCCGGGAGTCCGTCGCTCTGCTTACAAGTCTAGGGAATGCCAGCACGAGACACGCAGGCTTCCCCGTCATGACCTGGACAGAGCCACCAGGGTAGGGAGGGAACGCACGGGATGGATGGGAGAACGTCCGCCAGCTGCTGATCTACGAAGGGGCTCGTGTCCAGAACACATCAGGAGCTCAGCACAAGACCCCAAGGAAATGATGGGCAGACGACCCGCACCCGTTTCCCCCAAAAAAGACAAACGGCCGAAAGCACGTGGAAAGATGCTCCATGTGAGCTAACACGAGCATCCTAGGGAAACTGAGATCAGAAGCACAAGACACCCCCTCACACCCCTTAGGACAGCGACTCCAGACACTAACAACAGTTTAAAAACAAAACCGCAGACAAGAGAGCTGCTGAGAACCGGGGGGGACCGGAGCCCTCGTGCCCCTGCTGGGCGGTGAGAAGCGGGGCCGCTGCTGGGGGCGGACCCTCAGAAAGTCAAACAGAATTACCGCGGCCCCAGAGACTCTGTGGGGCCGAGACCCGAAAGCCTCGGCAGAAGGACTGAGGGACGTGTTAGCCGACCACATTCATCGCTGTTATTCACAGGGGCCGAGCATGTGAGCATCCACTGACGGGTGCACAGGGGACGCCTCCCTTGTGCGCACCCAGCGGGGAGTCGTCTTGGGCCTTGAGAGGGAAGGAGAGGCAGACCTGCGCTCCGACGTTCTGCTCCGTGAGGTCGGGCAGGTGTGAGAAAACTCCTCGTGTGTGAGGCCCCGAAAGCAGGTACGGAGCAGGTTCATGGGGACGGGGAGGAGACGGAGGGCTGGGGGACGCGAGGGGTGGAGAGTGTCAGATGGCACTTCCGGCTGGCAGGAGGGAAGGTGCCCTGGAGGCGGATGGTGGCAGCCACATGACACACTGTGACTGGGTCACCACCACACGTGTCCCTAGGGATTTCTCCCACATCCAAGGTCAAGAATCACGTCCATAAGCAGACACACCAATGTCCGTGGGCCCAGACATCAGGCCACATGGCGTCGTGGGTTTGGGGCTGGGGACCATGTGGTGGGAAAACGCCCAGCCTCAGCCTCACAGCCCCAGTGGCGCCACGTTCAGCTCACGGGGCCCGTGGGCACGCAGCCCGGGACCATCCCGCGCACGCACACATGCAGACCAACCCCCTCTCTGGGCTCCCCGAGCGGCACGGGGGGCAGGCCCGCCTGCACGTTTACTCTCCCCCTCTGGTTCTTCAGAGCTTCCCATGCCGTCTTGCTAATGCCACGGCAGAAGTGCACTGACTGCCTCACGGCCGTCCCCTCTGCCACATGCTGCTGTGTCCGACGTGGCCATCAGAATCTTCCAGAATCGATGGCACGGATCCCTCCCCATCGTGGAGAAGCTCGGAGGTCCTCCTCCCAGCCTCATGCTCAGTATTTTCTAAAACGCATCCTTCCCTCACTCGTGCCCGTGTTTCCAAGGGCACCCACGGCACCCATCACCCGGGGCAGAATCTGGGCATCTTCTTGGATGACGCCCTCACCCCAACTGACGACCTGCGCTCTGGGAGCTACCGAGGCAGCTTCCATCCACCTCCCTCCGTCACCTGGACCAGCCCGAGCCTGTGTCTCAGCCTCGGGGGCTCCCACCTACCTCACCCGCCCCCTCGAACCCTCGGCAGGACAGAAAGCCTGACGTCTGATCACTCACAGACCCCGTACTCTCATCTGGGAAGAAACAGGGGCCAGCGCAGCTCCTCCAAACACGGACCTGCCATAATCCCAAACTCGGATTCCCCGCAGGCTGTGAACTCGTCTGACTCGAAGGAAAACCTGCCTTAGCAGGACCAGATGGTTTCCAGCTGTTCTGACTAAAGATGGGGGTCATGGGGAAAGTGGGGCCCCTGGTGCAAGGTGGGGGCCCTGTCCCCAAGTGCCCCTGCAACGGGCACCCCCAGTCCGGCCAGCCAGCTCTTCAGTGGCCCCGTGCGCTTGGGCCTGGGGGTGCCGTGAAGCACGAAGATGAGCCAGTCAGCATTCTCTCTCTCTTTTCCTCAGGAACTGTCAGCAGCGTAAAGGATGGAGGCTGCCCCCCGCCCCCCAGGCCTTGAGCCAGGAGCCCTTGCCCAGAGCCCGGTCCCGGCTGCCGACGGCCGTCAGCTGGGAGGAAGGTCAGGGCGGACTTGCACACTCTGCTGGGGAGGATTAAGTAACAACGTGGCCTGTTTGTATTCCTTCCTTCTCCTGCCCCAAACGTCCACCTTATAAACAACCGGAGAGTTCAGCTGGGACGCGTTTGGACGAAGACAGTTTTAGACGGAAGAACGTGAGTACGTGTCCTCTGTCTGCAGCTTGCGGACACGGCACGTGCCCCCCTCGGAGAAGGAGGCTGGAGACGCTCACAGACCCCCTTCCTGCACCAGACGAGCCCCAGAGACTGGGACCTTCCCGAAAGCCGTCGGAAGCTCATACCTCATTTCAGGGGCAAGGACACACGCAGAAGCAGACACACAGAATGAGCAAGATGCAGTGTCCTGAGGTTTCAGACACTTACGTAATAAAATCCATCTTCATCGATCTCCCCGAAAACGGTAATGATGTCTCCGGTGCAAAACGTGAGCTCTGCCTGCGGGGACAGAACGTCAGGCTAGTGACACCTTCGGTTCGGAGTGGCTGGTTTTCTTTAAAAAGGTCCTCACGATTGCTCTAAGGGTTTCTTTTTTCTCATCATTTTGCGGTTGACCTGCTCTTCCGCTCACCCAGGGAGGAAGGGTATGGAAGCTGGCCGGTGCTTCTGTACACGGCGCCCCGGGGACGCGGGGGTAGAACAGCTCAGGCTGCGGCCACCTCCCAGCCACGCACCACGCACGCCATTCCCGGCCAGAGCTCACAACAGCGGCTGCGTCCCCCCGCCACCATAGTTCTTGTTTAAAACTTGTCAAAGTGGGGACGCCTGGGGACTCAGGTGGTGGAGCGGCTGCCTTTGGCTCAGGTCATGATCCCGGGGTCGTGGGATCGAGCCCCGCATCTGATTCCCTGCTGAGCAGGTACTCCCTTTGCCCCTCGCCCGGCCCGTGCTCTCTCTCTTTCTCTCTCAAATAAAATCTTTAAAAAAAATAAAACGACTCAAAGAGTTAACTTGAAAAACCAGAAGTTCAGGGAAGGGTCCTCTGCAGCATGAGGACCGTCACATAAATGTCCCTGGACTGAGTGCGAAAAGCCTTTACTCAATTACTCTGTCTACAAAGTGTACGCGACGTGCCAGGCGCCCGCCTAGACACCGGCACACGGACGGGCACACGGACAAAATCACGTGCCGGCTTATCTCTGAATGTGAGGACAAGGGAAGGGAGATGACCTCTCAGGCCACCACATGTCCCTTATGAATCGGATCCGCGTAGCAATGTTTGCAGAACCTGCTTTGAATCCGAACCACGTGCTGGGAGCACGTGGGGCACAAGAGAAACCGGGGATGACAGATGTGGACACCGCTTGTCGCCTGAGAAAGCAGGTGCACAGGCTGAGCACCTAGCCTGTCAGCTCTGGAGGGGGTCCCTTCTGCCTCCCAGGGTGCCGAGGGCCACGCTGGCCCAGGCCACGTGTGTGGAGGACACGGGACCTGTCCCTCAGCTTCTGCCTGGAGGGCGGGGCCGCTTATAGCTCTGCTCTCTCTCCAGGCCCCCACACCGCAGATGTTAATTCTCTTCCAGAAGACACTCGGGCTGTCACCCGGGGCTGAGGACGGCAGATGGCTCCTCCCACGGCCTCCTGCACGGGACCCTGGACCGCGGCAGTGACCAGGCTGGTCAGCCGCGGTGCCCCTTCCCTGTCTCCTCCGGCCTAGCTCCCTCACACCATTTACTGCACACACAGACCCTTCCAGAGAAGCGGGGAGGCCGGGTCCCACGGCCCGCAGGCTGCTCTGCGGGGAGAGGCCCGGGGACCGGCCGTGAGCCGCGGGGAAGCGACGCTGGGCACGTACCTCCACATCGATATTGGGCGAGCTCTCTCTGGGGTCGTAGTCGTACAGCGCCACCACCCTCCGCGTCGCCCCTGGGTGCCTGCCGCTGCTTCTGCTTCTCTCTGTTGACATCGTGAGGAGGAAAAAGCCGTCATGGTTACTCCACAAGGAGTGCCGCCCCCGCTCCCTCGTCCCCAGGGCCGCAGGGCCCACGGGGCCAGCGGGACTGGACTACTGCCCTCTCCAGGCCCCGCGAAGCCCTGGCTGTGCGGCCGGTCGCCCTGAGCTGCGCATTCTCGTGGGTTTGCTCTGCCCCCCCCCCCCCCCCCCAGCAATGAGGACGCTTTCCTCCCCCGATGCGTCCGTCCGACAGGGAGGCCGAGACGAAGCTGGGATCCTCTGAAATCAGAGATCACAGCCCCTCATGGGACTGTGTGTCTGCGGTGCAGCCTTCGCCGCTGGGGGGCAGCCCCCCTGTGTGGACGAGGCAGCAACTCCACCCGCTCCCCGGGGGCAAGACGCCTGAGTTTCCCCATCTCAGTGGCATGCGGTGAGGGCGCTATGAGCACACAGGCCGCTGTGGGCACGCACGGAAGCTCCAGTCCTCCGGGCGAGGACGCAGGAGGGGGTGGCCGGCCTGCACTGTGCGTCCAGCTGTCCACGGACCCGCCGCCTGTCGGACAGAGCAGTCCCGCCCCACGGGGTCGCCCCCAGCGGACGCGGCTCCGGTCCCGCACCCCAACCCACGCTTGCTGTGGTCATCCCGGCGGGGGCGTCAGGGCTTCTCATGGCGCTTCTCCACACACTACGGGTCCTGTTGGGCGTCTCTCCGTCTGCTTGTCCGCCATCCACGAGTCCTCCGTGGTAAAGGAGCTCTTAGGTCTCTGGCCCGCACTGGCGCTGGTCGTTGGCTTTCCTGTTGTGGAGTAGTCGAGCGCGGGGTGCCCCCAGTCCGGGTCCCCCTCGGCCGGGTCCCCTGCGGACACTCGCGGCCAGACCGGAGCCTCACCCTTCCTTCTCTTCATGCTGTGTTTCTCCAGTTTAGAAACGACTCGATGCTCAAGAGCCTGACGTCAGTCTCTTGCTTTACTGTGTCCTGGTTTCAGTGTCACGTCAAAGACATCAGGGCTCCATGGCCACGAAGCTCCTCTCCTAGAAGTTTCACGGTCTTAGTTTTTATACTTAAGACTGTTCGATTCTGAGTTCATTTTGTGAGTCTGGCAGGGGTGCGGCCCAAGCTTCATTTTTCTCTGCCCGAGTCCAGCACCCATGATAGAAGAGACTGTCCTTTCCCTGTTGAGCCCCCCTACCTGGGTTGAAACTCTGTGGACACTGCAGGCGTCGGTCCGTTTCTGAATTTGCCCTGTTGCACGGATGGCGGTGCCCTGGGCCGCCCACACCACTGGGTCTCCATCAGCTCCCCTGTGTGTCCAGTCGTAGAACCTGCTCACACCATGGTGTCCTCCACGGCGCTTTCAGAAAATCACTCGGGCAACTGCAGTCCCTTTGCCTTTTCATACACGTTTGATTTAGTGCACGGATTCTACACGGATCCCTGCACAGACATGGACCCGGGGGGCAGGTCCCATCTGCACAGACATGGACTGGGGCAAGGGGAGGGGCGCGTCCGGTCCGTATGGATGAGCCTGTGGGTGCGTCCGTCAGTTTGGGGGTGCTGGACGTCTTCACCGCCCACAGTGCAGAACATGACGTCTGTTTCCTCGGGGAATCCTCGGATTCTGTCCTCAGGCTTGGTGGCCTCCCCCACGCAGAGCCCGCCTGCATTCAACCCCTCCCTTCTCATGTCTTCGTTACATCATCGTAAATAACATTATGTCTTAAACGTCAACTCCAAATTTTTCATGCTAACATTTGGAAAAACAATTGCTTTTGTATCTGTTGACCTTGCTAAGCTCCCTCCGTGGCTCTAGGAACTCGTGTTCTAGATTCTCTAAGTAAATTTTCATGTCACACGTGACTTGGAAAAAAGTTTGTCTTCTTTTCCAGTGCGTACCCCGTTTCCTCCTGTCTTACCACATGTGGTGTCGGAAGACGGCTGCGAGGCGGACACCGGGTCCTGCCCCAGCCACGGGGGGGCACGGGCTCAGCCTGCGGTGACAGCGACACTTCCTAGTGCTAGAAGGGCCCACGGTGCCTCAGTCCGGTTCCCTCAAAAGTCACAATTAGAAAAAGACAATAAGACAGACATTCAACCTACTTGGTAAGTTGAATCAAGCTACTGCTTTCTAGCGGAGCCCAGGCGGGCTCACTGGGTCTGCGGGGAGCGGAGCCAGACCCGGTGGCGTCGGAATGGGAGTCGGGGGGTATCGGGCTCAGAGAGCTTCAGGCTCGTGGACTTGATCCAGGCAGGATATTCCCAGAAGCCTCTGCTCTCAGACGCGGCTCTGACTCCACACCGTGAGTTCATTCATACCAGAGTCGAAGCATTCTGCTTGAGTTTGTGATTATCCTTAAAATCATGCATATTCTTTGAGCCACTGCATTTTGTCTCTGAAATCTGACTTGCAACTACGTTAACCTAATGTTTTAAAGTATTAAAACCTAAAACATGAATGACATAAAGTAGATCTTCCTGTCTCCAGCTTTGTAGAGAAAGCAAAGGCCTCTGAAATATGTAGATTTCCCCCACATGTGCGCAAAATTAGAGATCGTAACCGTGACGCTCTGAAAATAGTTCCACTGTGTACTCACGGCTGCTTGCAAACTGGGTCGAGGTAAACAGAGGAGAGTGTCCTCCATCCACACGACGGGGGACAGTCTTTTCTTCCTTTTGGATGAGGAATGTCCACCCGAATGGAAAGCATGCGGTGACTTCCTCACCCTGTGCCCCGCACTGGGGACAGGCGGACGCTCACGGCCCATCCCCCATGGAGACGATGGGGTCCAGGTGTGAACCCAGGGTGCGTCCCACAGTAAGACCCCTGACCCCGACGTCCTGGTCTGTGCCTTCTGCCCGAACACGGCGCACAGCCGCTCCTCAAGGCCCCGGGGGCTGGAAGTCTGAGACTGGGACGCCGCAGAGTCGGGTCTGGGGAGGATCCTCGTCCTGGTTCATGGGTGGTGTCTTCCCACCTGTCCTTGCAGGGTAGAGGGGGTGAGGGACACCCGTGGGGCCTCTTTGCGAGGGCCCTGACGCCCCTCTGAGAGCTCCACAGTCACAACGTCAGCTTCTCCCAGAGGCTTCGCTTCCTGACACCAGCACCGTGGGGGTCACGGTATAAATGCACAGGTTTTAGGGGATACAACATGCAGAAACAGCCAGAAAGCAAGCAGTCTATTTTCTGGTGGGACAGATCTTTAGTAAGCAACGCTGCACTTCCTCTTTCATTATAAAATCATCTGAGTTTTCGTAAATATTTGGGCGTGTAAATGTCCCCAAAGCAGGCAAGACTGTTATAACCCGGTGTGCAGTGCGGGTTCGTTTTCAGATTCCCTTGCAATGGCACCGACTGGACCCTGTCCACACCGCCTCCTGCTCCCGGCTGGTGGCGTGGCTGGGGGAGGCGGGGGAGGCCAGGGAGGCCGGAGCAGCCCCGCCAGCAGGGGCAGGGGCGACCCGGGGGTGGTCTCTTACCTATTTTCTCCACAGGAGTGTTGAGAGGCAGGAAGCCTTGTCTCAGAAGCTGGTCCATCATCTCCTCATCGTCGGCTTGGATTTCTGAGACCATGTTACAAGGGATAAGGCCGAGCCGGGCACAGGTCTCCCCACGGTAGAAGCCGTCCGCGTCTTTGTCACCATAGACCTGGAGCCGGGGCGAGAGGCCGAGGCAGTGTGAGTGCCGGGTCTCCCGTGCGTTGTCAGAATGTGCGGGAAGAGCCCGTCGTCACCGACACGTGCCCTGCAGACCCACGGCCACACCGGGGAACCGGCTTCCGCCCCAGGGTCTGGACAACCCGCTGGTCCCATCACCCAGCGGGGGGCACAGGTCGGGGTTCGGCTCCACTTTGCATGTGTGAGGAAACCCCACCCCACGGAGAGGACTTTGAGTCTCCCCCTGGCGGTGCTCCCGTCCATAGCCGCGGGCTTCCTCCGGGAGGCCGAGCCCCAGGCTCTCTCCGGGGTCCCTGCTTCGGACTCACGAGCCCTCTCTCTGCTGGTCCTACGGCTGACTGATGCGACAGAACAGGCCCGCCCTGGGGATGAGCTCAGGGGCTGCAGCACGGTGACCGCACCGTCCTTCCCTGCCCCCCACGCCGCCTGGCGCCCACCTTGATGACCTGTCCTTCCTTAAAGGGAAGCTCTTCTTCAGCAGCATCTGGATTCGGGGACATGGTGAGGGGGTCATAGTCAAAAAGCGCCACAAAGATCCGGGCCGGGAGCTCTTCAGCACCTGGGTCGGTCTCCGACTCTTCGTAGAAGTCTGGAGAAAGGCGGTCCCGCTCGCTGTACTCGTCTGGGGGGGGGGGGGGAGAGGCAGAGGGCTAGGTGACTCCCGGACGTAGAGACCTGTGCTGCTGTCGGAAACGCGGTTCAGAAGATGGTCGATGGCAGCACTGGAACTTCTGTCTGTACATCTTTGGGTGCAATACAGATCGACATGGATGGGCGGGAAAAGCAGCCGCGGTCAGGAAACCCAGCGCGGGACAGGCCATCCGCTGCGGAGCGGAGCCAGAGGGACGGCCCCGATGCCCCGTCACCGAAAAGCATTTGCACGTGAGTGGAAGTCTGGGGTGCTCACTTAGCCTCAACACTTCAGTGGCGACAAATGCATTCTTCACAAAACTCCACCTCCCATCCGGCTTCCAAAAATTGTGGGGTTTTTTTGTTGTTGTTTTTTTAAGATTTTATTTATTTGTCAGAGACAGCACAAGCAGGGGGAGCGGCAGAGGGAGAAGCAGGCTCCCCGCTGAGCAGGGAGCGGGATGCGGGGCTTGATCCCAGGACTCCGGGATCATGACCTGAGCTGAAGGTACCTTTGGGGAGGTCACAGCCCCCTGGTCAGAATGGGATCCTCCCGAGTGGAGCAAAGACCAGCCACGATCCAGCGAGAAACCGTGCCCAGCTCCTTCCTCCTGTGAGTCACGGATCAGCATCGGGAGGCCCTCCTCATGCTGACCATAGGGTCCCGAATTCACTACATCTGGACCCACATAATTTTTCTGTTTTTAAGTCTTTTTAAATCTGTTTCCTTAATTAGGACACCCAGAGAATATTAAAAGTTACGGTATTTTTATTCAATTGCGATGCATTGCTTCTTAAAAATATATTCCGGGGGCGCCTGAGTGGTTCAGTTGGTTAAGTATCTGACTCTCGATTTTAGCGCCATTCGTGACCTCAGGGTCGTGAGCTCGATACCCCCGCTGAGCTCGGTGCTGGGCGTGGAGCCTGCTTGAGATTCTCTCTGCCTCTCCCTCTGCCCCTCCTGCTCATGCACTGCCTCTCTCTCTCTCTCAAATAATGATAAATAAAAATATATTTAGGAAGTTATTGTCTACAGAATTAGGTTCCTCTGGGGGGGAAAAAAAAAGGAATGCTTCTGGAATGGAGCAGGTTTCTAAAACAATCATTGATATTTGCACAAGAAAAATGGAACTAAATCGGAAAGAGGGGCACAAAGTCTGCTGGCACACCCCTGGCCATTCCCGGGGGTCACTGGGCTCTGCTGAGCACGCTTCACTTCTGTCCTTTGAAACTCAGGTGCTTGTGTATGAATCAAAGCCTTTAATAATAATCATGTTAGTATGTGCTTTCTTGCATCACTACATGGTAAGAAATCGGGTCCAATTAAACCAAATCCATCACGGATTTATTTGGCACTTTTTTTGAGTTATATTAAGAGCCTTTTTTTTTTTTTTGATTAAAATGTTAGCATTATTCTCTTTCTGCTAATTTAGCTATTGTTTTACTAAGATGAAAACACGCGTGCAAACTTTCAATTTCTTAAGTAAGACACACCCATTCAAAGGGCCGTCAGGGGCTCCAGAGGTTGGGTCAGCAGGGAGGACTAGAAGGCGTCCATGTCTCCCCTCTGCCTCCACACCCACTGGGCCATTTGCAGTCCCTCCCGCAGCCATTCCCAGGAGCCCGGGGATGGAGCCTCTGCAGAGCCCCAGCCCCTTGCCCCCAACCCTCCCCTGTGAGCACAGACACAATTCCTGCCATGCGTCAGGCTGTGGTCTCACCGCATGACAGTGACTGTCCAGGGAAGCCCCAGAAACCCCCTTCTGCAGCAGAGATGACTGGGTCCTGGCCCGCACACCAGCCCCGCTCCACCTCGCTTCTGAAGACGGCCAGTCCCCCACGAGCCGTGCACCTGCTACACCAGGATCACCCCGTCAGGCTCGGTCACTGTCACGGAGGGGTGACACACAGATCACGTGAACGTGGGGGCACCGTGGCACCGGGTCCAGAGCCCCTGAGACTACCCAGGCTGTGTGACGTAAGCTGCCCGCTGATGTGGAACAGGCGGGACCGGCGTCTACCAGTTGGACTGTTGCTGCGTTCTTTGTCATTTTTCAGCGAACTGAAAAAACTTTTTTTTTTTTAAGGGTCTTGAGTATTTTATGACACTTTTACTGATCAGTAAAAACATTCTAAAACCATAGAGGTGGAAGAGAAAACTTTTCCCCTGTTGTTTGGACTCAAAAGGGAAGAAAAGTCTGGAAGAAGTAAAGTATTTTAGAGGATCTGTTTTGCGTCATCACATCCGTCTGTCCTGTTAGTTGACCCGAAAAGAGGCGACTGTCCCCTGAACGTCAGCTGTGTGCTGGTGTCCGGAGGCCCCTGAGCTGTCCCCCCGGGCCCTGGGTCAGGCTCCGCTGCGCCCGCTCCCTTCACAGCTCTCCCTGCCTGTGTTCACATGCACGCGCACTCCCACAAAACGCCAGTTTCTCTGCGCTGATTTCCCACGTTCCGTTATCTTGTGCAAATACTTTTTGGAATCGTTTTTGCCATGATTCATTCCACTGGAACGAACAGTTGAAGCCACCCCTTCCGACCTCCAACCACCACCCCCTTCCGCGTGGGATCAGTTATGGGGACTAAAATGACAGCTTTCAGCACGAGTGGCTCAATCCCAAAAAGGAATAAAGGGAGTGGGCTCAGGGGGCCGGAGGAGGGCTCCCGAGCGAGGAGGGGAGCACGTGCACGAGGGCGGCCCACACTCTGGAGGCCACATCAGGCCTCGTGGGGTTCCCCGTCACTTTGAGCCCCGGCTGCCGGGATGCTTTACGCACACAGAGAGCTCTCTGTTACTTGGGTTTGTTTAGGTATTTGGAGTTGAGCTGCGACTCCTGCTTCTTTGGCTGTGACCCTCTCACGAGAGCACAAGCTGGGACGTGAGAGGCCTCACACTGCAATCTCTCCAGGGCTCATGTGGTTTGGCCTCTCCAGGAAAGAAAACAAATTGGTAGGGAGAAGACTGATGTTAAAAGCCAATATGATATTTGAGAACACTTATAAATAGGTTTCATTTCTCTTATGCCTCTTTCTGCATCTTTTTGCCATAAGTACCAGAGAGTTTTCTGTACGTGGTTAGAAATGCTACTCCTACTGAGTTTGCAAATGTGTCCTGATCACGGACGGAGCGGCCATGTGCTCTGGGGTCCCAAGAGAGAGCAAGGTGTCAGGCCCACTAACCGATGGACGGGACCATCATCGGCCGGGACCGCTGAGGACCAGCACTGCCGTGGGAGAACCTTCGGCCCACGTGATCCACCCTGTCCGCCCGTCCTGCAGACATCGGGTTTCCTAAAATCTGAAGACACAACAACAGCACAGTCATAAGTCCTGCCAGCCTTGGGGAACAAAAGAATTAAGTCAGCCAAATCAAATCAACTCAGAAGCAGAAGCTCTAAAGGCAACTAAACTTAGCTTTTAACTGAAAGGTTAGCTGAATAACCTGGAGGAGAGAAAAGGCTGCTCTCCCCAGCCCGCCCGTCTTCCGCACCAGAGCCGTTTCTCGACACACGGAGGGGAGCGGGGGCGAGAAGGGACTCCTCGGGAGGCACTCTTCTCTGCGGCTCCCGCTGCCGAAGCCAAGGTCTTGGAACCAGAGTGAGAGTGGCTCCAACCCAGCTCATCCCAGCTCCAGCCCCTCGGACCGCATCCGGCCCTCAGCTAGTCTCAGGACAGCCTGCCCCTGCAGTGTTCACGGACGTGGGCGGGGGGGGGGGGGTTAGCTGTGCTTCCGAACACCCCGCCTGGACACCGCTGTGTGTGAGGTTACCGGAAACTCGGACAGAAGTTTCTGTGTGTTCCCAGCTCTGAAACTCACGGCAACATCTTGGCCCTAATCCGAAGACACCAATGACTTTTCAGGGCTGCCTTGGGTGGTTCTCCTTTTTGGACGGGTTTGCTTCTACTTTGCACTAAAGGTCAGAATCTTACGAGAGAATCCTAGCGAAACCTCCGGCTCACTGGGAAGCAGTTGGAGTCGGGAAGCTCTTGGGGGCACAGGGAACGAACAGTGGTGGGGACTGTTGTTAGACGGCTTATCACAGGCAGAGGACAGGATGTGGGCCACGCACGGATGGTGGGCGACTCAGTGGGCTCAGATCGGCGCCCTTGTGTGCACAGCAGGCTCAGACCCCAGGCCTGGAGTGCACGGCAGCGGCTCACCTGTGTTTTCATGGAAAAGTTCAGCATGACAGGAGCAAATGTTTTGGGAAGGGCACACAATATAGAGATGAATGATGCCTGGAGGGACCCCTTACTCTTGACCTGCCAACAAGCCTGGAACACAAGGCGGGGGATGCGTCTAGAGCTGATGATGGAAACTCGTTCTGGAAACATCCCCCGGAAAGAAAGGGGAAGGAAAAACAAAACACAACAAAAGCCACTTTGGAAACAACATATAAAAATGGACCTTTGATAACTGTTCCTCATTCTTTTTTCCAGTTACGGATAAAGATCCAAACCCAGGGCCACAATCAGAAAACACCTTCGACGGTGCGGGTGGCGGTCGTGAACGTCCCCGAGGGTTCATTTGGAAAAAAACACATGTTGCCAAACTTTTGGATCATCGTAGTTCAGCTAACCCTTAATTAAAATTTAGATTCAGTTGTCCTTTAATTAAAGCAGCCATAATCGTCGCTGATTCTGTGGGGTGGGGGTCAGTATTCTAAAGCAAAGGAAAGGGGTCGTCAGCATGGTCAAAGATTGGGAAGCAATGGCACTGAAATCAAAATGCATGGAAATGAAAGACAGCCAGCAGAGACGCTCCCCAGGGATGGACACCAACAGAAAAAAAATCAGGGAAAAGAATGAAAATGGATTGGTTTGGCAAGCAGATGTGAGAAGGAAGTTGACTTCACACACCACAGGGCCTGCTGTCACCCGGGGAGGTGACTCTGGGGCAGTGGCCCTACTGTCAGGCATGTTTATGCTTTTCTTCCAGACATCCCGCAGGCCCTGGTGCCCCAGGGGCTCCTCCCGGCCATACTTCCTGGGGGCGGATCTCTCTGGGCTCGGGTGGGCATCATGGCTCCTGAGGACGGCGCTGGGGTCCACTTGCTCCCCAAAGTCCTCCTCGATGCTGCTCTGCCGGGTCAGCGTCCGCCGCTGGGCCAGCAGCGGCCTCGGGCTTCTCCTATGGGGGCAGTGCCCAGGGCCCGGGGTGCACTTGGACGAGCTCCTGAAGCTAAGACGTAGCTCCTCCTCCTCACTCCCACAGTCCAGGCCACTGTCCGGGCTCCTGCTGGCCATGCGGCTGGACCAGCAGCCTCTGTCTTCCAGACCGAAGTCCTCCGCATGGGGCCCGCCGCCCCCTGGGCCCCTGGGCTTGGCTGGGAGCCGGGAAGCCGGTGGGGCCCGGGCCCTGGCCGGGTACCCTAAGCCCTGCTTGTGCAAGACCTCCAGGTGCTCTCCCTCCTCGGCTACTTCAGGGATACTGAACAGCCTGGAGCTATGCTGGGTCGGGTGGGGGTGCTCGGGCCGCTCCAGGAAGGCCCCCTCAGAGCCGCTACTCTGAGAGCACTCCTGAAGGGGGTGCTGTGTTAAAACGCGGTGGGACCCAAGTGACATGGCGGGAGGAAAGAAAACAGACAATTAGTCTCAGAGGCCATGAGGGGCAGCAAGCATGCGTGTACTCGTGGGGGCGAAAGGCATGCTCTGGCCGGGCTCTGAAATGAGAACACAAGGTTAGCAGATGGTGCCTGGCGCGGGGCAGGGGGAGCCGCGCGCCGCGGTCTCGCCTGGAGCGGGTGGCGCGCAGAGTGGAGGGCAGGCGAGCCGCCGGGTGCCGCTGGGGACAGCGGGCAGCAGGGGGCGCTCGGCCCTGGGAGGCCTGCGCCACAGGAGCTCAGAAAACGGCTGCTGGGGAGGGGGCTGGGGCGGGGCGGCGGAGGCGGGCACCACGGAGGCCCCGCCCACTACCGTCCCTTCCGTCCTCCCCGACTCCAGCTGCGCTTTGCTCCAGGCTACACCCATAGGACAGCCGGGGCCTTAGCCCTTGGCGCCTCGGGCGCATCTGCAGAGGACCTAGTCGGCCTGCCTCTCCGGATCCTGGCCCAGGGCGCGCAGGGAGCCGCGTCCCACCATCCTGGGCCCGCCCGGCATGGCGCCCACCTGGCACAGCACCCTCCCCGGAGCTGCCCCAGGCTGGAGGGACCTAGCCACTGTGCACCCCCTGGCCGTGGCCTCGCAGGTTCTCTCCGCTGGGGCATCCCTGAGCCTATCCTTCATGCCCGCTGGGCAGGAAGCGCACCTCTATTGCCTCGCCAGACAAGGCCCTTCCTCCCTGGGGTGCATGGCTGTGTGGGGCTCCTGCCAGCTGGGGACCCTGGTGCGTTTAGGGAGCTGAGGGCTCAGGGGCAGGAGCTCAGTGCCAGCCGCTGACCCAACCCCTCCGCTTTGCTAACCTGACACCCCGTGTGTTTGTGAGCTTGAAGAAGGGGTCCAATCTGGGGGCTCCCAGGGCAAGGCTGGTGTGGGGGAAGCTGGCTCAGCCCTACGGAATTGTCATGGGCAAGAAGCTGAGCCCAGTGATCCCAGATTCCCAAACTGTCAGACTTTGTAAAGAACTCAGACGTCCAGACCGGCCCATAAAAGCTTCTGATTTAAAGAAAAAAAAAAAAAAAAAAGGAACAGCACTGTGAGCAACGCCACGTGCATTATTACTCTACCGGCTGTCAGCTCCCAGGCAGCCTCTCCCAGGCGGCCCCCCAGCGCTGGCTTTTCTACCAAGCTTGCTGCTCTCCGGGCCTCCAGCCTGGGAGAGAAGGCAGACTCTGCTTCTTTGCTAAACTATTTGCAGGAAGTGCCTTCCCAGGAGCTTTCTCCACCAGAAGGAGAAGCATCATGAAAACCAGATCCAGGCTCTGCCCAGCCCATCTGTGAGCACTTGCAGGCAAAGCGGGGAGTCCAGGGGTGGGGGGCATCAGACCGGACCAGGGGGAGGTCTTGGCTCTGCCACCCTCAAGGAAGGTTACTGTGAGTCCAGCTGACCAGTGGTGCCTTGGGAGCTGGCAGGAGGCGGGGGAGGAGCCCCCAGGAGTGGCAGGAGCTGCCAAAAGGCAGAATTTGCACAGGACTCCAGCAGGTGCTTTGGTGACAGAGCGTCTTCAAGACCCTGTCGGGGGCTCTTTGCCAGAACAACATCTGAGTCCTGTCTGTGCCAGTCCTGACTGTGCCTGCCAGTGAGTTGGCACCCAGAGCTGGATGATGCCTTCTCTCCACCAACAAAATGCATGCTTGTGTGTCCTAGAGAAATTCCACGGTGGGGTGCTGTAACCCCAGAGGAACTTTCCTCTTCGTGGCCTTTTTCATGTGCAAAGCCCACAAGGGTCCTAGCAGCCGTCCAGCCCTTGGACTGTCTCCCCCAGGGGTGGGAAAGGCTGGCGGATGGCAGCCACACGGCTCAGCCAGCCCGGGGCAGGGCCCGGTGCAGAGGCGGGAGCTCCCGCTGTGGGAACGAAGGACTGGGCACGCGGGCAGCACGTGGACGCACACATGAGGGTAAGCCTTCTTCTGCTTGGGTCTCTGGAGGCCTCAAGCTCCGGTTCCATGAAGGTGACCCCCATCAAGCCCATCAGAGGATGTGGGGTTCTGGGGGACGCGTCTGCAGAGGGGCCTGCATGTGGACCCCGTGTTGTCCGCGACACCCCACCCCCTCTAGCTTCCATGCCCCCTGGCGCATGGATCACCCCAGCTTCTTCCCCGCATCAAATCTGCCCAAACCCCTGCTGGCCACGCCCATCCTGGGCCCCTAGTGCGGCTCCAGATCAGAGCTCAGGGCCCTCAGGGGAGGGTGGTCTTCCCGGCTCTGTTCTTCCCCACTCAGTTCCTGGCACTGAGCTGGGCACCCCAAGGATCCCAAACAGACTCTCCTGAGCCCTTCCTCCCGGGCTTGTGGGGCACGGGCAGGACGGGAGGTTGGAGGAATTTCCCAACACAAACTCCACAACAAGGAGGAAGCAGACCCAAACCCACAGGCTCTGCACAGCCAGGCGAGGCCTCCCGGAGCCGCTCGCAGTCCCAGCAGAGGGACAGGGAAGGGCAGCACCAAGGCGTGGGGTGGGAGTGGGGGACCGGGGGCCACTGACCTTGAGGGCATTGTGGGAGGTACCGCTGGGCCTCCTCCTGCCCCCATCCTCCAGCTGCATCTCGGAGTAGAGCTCCTCCTCGTCCTCCTCCATGATGTCCGAGAGGTCAGAGCCCCGGCTGCTCTCCGTGTGGTACTCGTCCCCGTGGCAGCAATGCGGCTAGGGGCCGAGAGAGGGGACGCTGTGGGGGCCGCAGCATAGGGGCCACCCAGGCCCTCCTCGCCAGCCCCCCCTGCTCCGCTGGCTTGCAAGACCCCGCTCATGATGTGCATGTGTATGTGTGTGCATATGTGCACGTGTGTGTGTGCACGCGCGCGCGTGTGTGTGCGTGCACATGCGTGCTGAGGAAGGCCCAAACACCCCCATCCTGTCAAGCTCAGGGAGCCAGGAGGGCGGGGACAGCCAGTCTAGGTCGGCTAGCTCTGAGCCGGCGGTGACAGGCGGAGACCCTGGCAGGCTCTGGGGCAGCAGGGCTCAGGCACACTGCACCTGTGCAACGGAGAGCCGTGGGGTGGGAAAGTGCGTGCACGTGCACCACGCACAGGCATTTACGCTTTTTGCAAATACCACATCACCCAACACGCTCACGCACCCTGCATTGTCTACAGAAGAGACGGACTGGGCAGGAGACAGGCCCCCCACGCAGGCTGGGCTCACGCTGACCCCTGATGGAGACGGTGACGTGCGTGTGTGCACGGACACGGCCAGCCCTGGCCGTGCACGGCGACACCAGGGGGCTGCTGCTCCCACATTCATCAGCTCAAGTGTTTGCAGAGAGATATGTGAGGGCAAGAAGCCTTCCGCACGCCGGGCAGGTCAGACGGACCACTGCGTTCTGTCCTTGCTGGATGATGCGGATTAAGAACGGTGTGTTTATTTTCCAGGTGGGCGATGAGGCAAATGCATTTAATAGCAGCTCAGGCACATTTATTAAAAATACTCCAGGGGCACCTGGGGCGCTCAGTCGTTAAGTGTCTGCCTTCGACTCAGGTCATGTTCCCCGGGTCCTGGGACTGAGCCCCTTGTCAGGCTCCTTACTCAGCAGGAAGCCTGCTTCTCTCTGTCGTTCCTTCTGCTACTCCCCCTGCTTGTGGTCTCTCACTCTCGAATAAATAAAATCTTAAAAAACAACAACAACAAAAAAACAAACTCCAGTTTTCAATTACTAGCCCAGATAAAGACATGTAAGCATTTCTGGCCATGTGAAGTTGGTGGCCTGCTGCAGGCAGGAGGCTCGGCGTGCCTCCCGGGGAGAAGGGGCTGGGGATTCTCAGTCTCAGCTTCTGCGGCCTTGTGGAGGGCACGGTTCCAGCGGCAATTCTTTTACTCAGGGGCCAAGTCGAAGACATCCCAAGAAGGGCTTCAAATACACAAAGAGCAGGCTGCTTTCAGGTGGTCTTCCCCAGGCATCCAGGGCGCATGGCCCCAGTCTGCCCAGTGAGAGGGAAGAGCCAGTCTGATGGAGCTTCTGGAAAGGACTCTTTCTCCCAAAAAAGTCCCAAGACTTTTTTCATCCGTCCCTTCCTTCCTTCTTGGGGAGCTATCACATAAGGATGCGATTACTGGAGCTATGGCAGCCACTTTGTAGCCACGAGAGGAAGGCCAAAAGTATGGATGATCCAGAAGCCAGAGCCCAGGCACACTGCACAGCTGAATCAGCCTGGCAACATCCATCCTCCTGAGGCTTCCCGCTATCACGGGTGCGGAAATGCCTTCATCACCTTCGTCATTATTAGGGAGGCATTCTGTGTCTTATGTTCAAATGAGTGCACGTAGAACGATTTTAATCTTGTAGACAAAGAGCCGGCTAGCTGGACGAGCCAGGCAGTCTGCATGCAGAGCTACAGCTGGGTGGCAGCGGGGCCAGGACATGACCCCACATGTGGGAGTCCGAGGCCCCCGAGGCCACAGCGTTGCCCTGCCTTGTGGGTGCCACTCTCTGCCATGTCTTCGTGCCCTGATGTGCCCACACTGCCCGACTCTCCAGGCCTTCCCGTCTCTTGCCCAGACAATCAGGGTGCTTCCATTAGGGTGCACGTGATCTGAGCCTGGAGCCACAACGTAGGCGGGACACAGCTGCTGCACAGGGGCCTGGGCAGGGAGGGGAGCATTGGCAGCTCGTGCTATAGGCATAGGATGTGGATTCTCACGTTTCCAGCCCCCCGTGATGCCTGGCACAAACCAGATGCCCCACAACACTGGTCTGATTAAGGAAAGCAGGTAAACCAATGGTGGGTTTCTCCTCAATCGACCAAGTGGTCACCTGTAGGTTTACCCGACCCACCCGATTGTCCACATGATGAGATGCCAGCACAGGGTGGTTGGGGAGGATGGAGGCCTCCCATATGGGGGCCTCCCTTCTGGAACTGCCCCCGGAGGATGTCAGTCTCGGGAGCTCTGGCTGAGGCCAGGGCAGGCCCACAGGGACCCCACTCTCACACTCACCTGCTTGCCGAGCTCCGAGCCTTTCAGAAAGTCATCCACCGACGCGCCTCTCCTCTTGATGTCTGGGGACTCAAAGCTGTCCTCCTCGTCGGAGTTCGTGTACTGCCCACCACCCCTCTCCAGGAAGATGCTCCTTTTCTCTAACTTGGAAGGAGAAGGAAAGGAGCGGTCAGGAGGGGCTAGCGAGAGGCAGGGGGCGTCTAGGTCCCTGTGTCTTCCAGGCTCGGCCTCTCCTTCACCCAGCCCCCCGGGCCCTCTGGGAGCCAACGCAGGTAGGGACCTGTGTCCAGTGGCCAAGCATTGGCCTCAGTGCACTGTCCCTGTCCCTTACCAGATCCACTTCCTGTCTTTGCTGGAGGAAACCTAGGAAAACCAACGGAAAGTTCTCTCTCTATCCAGCTATTGGTCTGATCAATCAATGCTTTCTTGAAGGACGACATTCAGAGGTTTGCTTTCTCTCCTTGCCTCCCGAAAGGTGAGCTGGCATGGGGGCAGCGTTCCCTGGCCTGGCTCCAGCTGGCTCTCGGGACCCCGCCTGAGGGTATTAGGGCTGCGGGAGGTGCGGCTGCATCCCAAGTTGCAGAGGGACACCTGCCCCCCACCGCCAGGCCCTTCCTGCCCACAGAGTTTCACCAAAAGCATTAAGTACCACCATCCGGGGCCAGGCTTCTGCCTCATGAGAGCACGGCAGGGGAGGGCCCACAATAAAGGTGTGCATTGGAAACACTTCTTCTCGTCCAGGGTCACGATGAGTGTTAAATTGTTTTTTTAAGTATTTGTGGCCCACACTGAACCACCTGGGGGAGCTCACACACAGCCTGGGTTTTGGTATTCTGGGAGGACTGACAGCTGTCACTACCTCTCACATCCCCCTGCCCCACCATGTGGCCTGTGTGTGTCCTGCATGTCCCCTGGGTCATCCAGCTCTGACCTTTAGGCTCTGCACCCTTCCTGAGGCCCCCGACCTGGTCCCCAGCCCAGGACCAGGCTGACCCAGACCATGGGACCCCCAGGCATCAGCACAGTTGTCTACATCTCAGAGTGGACGCCCCGAGGCTCCCTGTCCTGGAGGGAACCTGCAGCTGGATGGGCGGAACTAAGCAGGACGCTGACCACCGCTGTCACCTCGGCTGCAGCCCTGACCGCAGGCCGCAGCAGACATGCCGGGCGCCCTGGTAAGCCAACGTGCCCGAGGATGAGACAGGGCTTTGCGATCTAGCCCAGTTCCAGACCCCACTCTCCCGCGCCTGGACAGGGCACCACTTCCCAGGTGTTTCCTACGACACCAGGTCTCACCCCAAGTCTCGTTGGGAAGACGGCCCCGCCACAACCCAAATGCTCCGGCCCCATGGCCCAAACAGATCCGGGTAACAGGCACGCGAGTGTATTTTTACAGGTGCACTTCTGCATGTAGGATGTGTGCATATGCACACGGCCGTCTATATGTGCACGCGTGTGTGCAAGCATGTCCATCTGCACACGTGTAGGACAGCACAAACGGAGAGATGCATGCACACGCATGCGCACGCATACACACACACGCGTACACATGTGCACAGACGCGCACACACACAGCTGCGGCGTTGAAGCACACAGAACCAGGACGTGAGCCTCGCTCAGGAAGAAGGTCCCCGAGCCGACTGCAGAAGGCGCCTTTCAGGCCCTCATTATAGACCAGAGCCTGGGTCATGGGCTCTCACGGCCTGGCGTCCGAGCCAAACCAGGCTGGTAGAAAATCACTGGATTTCACATACTGAAAACACATTTTGATTCTATCCGGATCTGGCTGAGAAAGTAGTCCACGGGGACGCGGAAGCTGTGTGACATACCCCCACCCCGGGCCAGCCAGCCCCCGCGCACCAGCGCTGCTCTTCCACAGACTGGAGGGTGGGGACAGGTGAGGGGTGGTGGAACCAGCAAGGAGAAGCCCGGCCTTACCCTGCTGCTCTCGGCCACTCTCTGCGCAGCTTCCCGGGCCATGGCCTTGGCGACAGACGTGGAAACCGGGGTGCCCTGTGGCTGCGGGAGGATCCGGCTGGGCGAGGGGGACCGCCTCCCCGGGCCTGAACCCTGCAGGCTGGGTGGCTCCAGCATGTGCCCGTGGGCTGGGGCCGGGACCCCACCCTGCTCCCAGGCCCCGTCCATGGCAACGTGGGGACCCAGGTGTTCATCTTTGGTATCAGGGGCTCCGGCACTTGCTAAGGGCTTCGGTGTGGGAGCAGTTCTCGGGTGGGGAGTCGGAGGCACCAGGAGGTCGGGGGGAATGGCAGCAGGGGCAGAGTCCATGGACTCGCCCTGGGCAGAGAGGGTCCGCACGGTCACGCCCTTGGCTTCCAGGCTCCGCAACCGCATGATCTCCACAGCTATGCTGTCCGCCACGGGGGAGATGACCTCAGCCACCTGTGCACAAAGAAGGCCCATCACAGGCAGCCTGCCTGCCCGTAGCCCCACCCCCTCGCAGTTGGTGGAGGTTCTTGGGCCCCATTGGGGTCCAAGCCTTTCATTCTGTGTCCAGGTCCAATCCAGATATAGGTGCGGGGGCCTCAAAGGCATCAGAAACCAGGTATAAACTGCCAGTTGGATGAGGGGAGAGGGAGCCAGGCAGAGGCCAAAATGGGCTTCCTGCTGTCAGAGAGAAGGAGACACTTCTGCAAGAGCATAGCCTGCCTTTGGGCTTCCCCATAGAGGGGGAGCACAGGGGAGTCCCAGGGGAGGAGGGGAGCACAGGGGAGTCCCAGGGGAGGAGGGGGAGCACAGGGGAGTCCTGAGGGAGGAGGGGGAGCACAAGGGAGTCCTGGGGGAGGAGGGGGGCACA